AGTTTAGTATTATCAACTACAATCACCATGCTGTACATCACATTCCCAGGACTGATTTGTTTTATTATTGGAAATTGGCACCTTTTGATCTCCTTTACCCATCTGGCCCACCCTCTAATCCTATGAGCTTGTTTTTTTTTTGTTTTTTTTTAAAGAACTCACATATGAAAGTTACCGTATTTTTCGGACCATAAGACGCTCCGAACCATAAGACGCACCAGTTTTTAGAGAAGGGAAATGAAGAAAAAAAGATTCTGAAACAAATAGTGTCCTAAAATATTTTATGTGCATTAAAACCCAACATCACAGTCATAAACACATGTAATCAACCCTGTAAAGTAAACAGCAGCATTTAGAACCATTTTAGAGCTGGGCAAGCACACAGAGACCACACAGAGCCGGGCAAGTAAAAAAACTTTTTTTTAAAGTGTATGTGTAGGCTATATTTGGACCATAAGACGCAGGGACTTTTCCCCCCCACTTCTGGGGGGAAAAAAGTGCGTCTTATGGTCCGAAAAATACGGTATATCATATGGTATTTTTCTTCCTGTGTCTGACTTATTTCACTTAGCTTAATACCCTCAATGTCTATCCTTGCTATTGCAGTGGTAAGATTTTTTTCTTTTTATGGCTGCATAATATTCCATTGTGTACATATACCACATCTTCTTTATCCATTCATCCATTGATGGATACTTAGATTGTTTCCATATCTTGGCTATTATAAATAATGCTGCAATGAACATAGGGCTGCATAATTTTTTCAACTTAGTGTTTTTAAGTTTTTCAGCTATACTAGTATATACTAGAGAGGGATTGCTGGATCATATGGTAATGCTAATCTTAATTTTTTTTGAGGAGCCTCCATACTATTTTCCATAGTGGCTGCACCAATTTACATTCCCACCACTAGTGAACAAGGGTTCCTTTTTTTTCACACCTTTGCCACACTTATTTCTTGTCATAGATACAGACAACAGTGTGGTGATGGCCAGCAGAAGGGAAGGGAGGTGGTGGGGGGGCTGGGTGCGAGCAGGCAAAGGGGGGAAATAGGAACATCTCTAATAGTGTTAACAATAAAAATAAAGTTGAAACAAATGACCTTCCAGACCATAAGGTCTCTGTTGCAGCGACGTACCGCTGCCATTGTAGTGTGAAAGCAGTTACAGGCAATATGTAAATAACTGAGTATGGCTGTGTTGTAATAACACTTTAATTACAAATATAAAAAATAAAAAAATAAAATAAATCAATTCCAGGGAAAATAAAGAATTTTGCTGAAAAGGAAAAATAATCTCAGTATTCTACCAAGTTCAGCTCTGTGGAATACATCTAGAACAGCAGTCGCCAACCTTTCGGACCTCACAGACCACTGGTGGTGACCACTGATCTAGAACATCATAATAATGTAAACAAAAAATAGTAACCTTACTACTCATATAAATATATTGAGGATAAGTGAGTACAGGAAGCGTGCTTGTGTGTGGGTGGGGAGTGCATTGTGAAAGACCTATATCCTTCACAGTACTAGTAGGAAGTCATTAGAGCATACCTCAAATTGAAAAACCAAGAAGTAGCAACATAAGTAGGTTACTTAGAGAGTGACGGTACAAACAAATAAAAAAATAAAAATGTTTGCCTCTGAGAATCAGAAAATTATTGGAAGATGGCAGTGGGAAGGTATATGCTCTCTACTCTCCTCCCCTAAAAGTCTATTAAAACTTAAAAACAAACAAACAGACAAAAAAAACCCAGGAAAATATTCCTGTCTTCTTTAGAGAATTGTTTATTTTATTTTGTTAAGTTGGCAAAGTTTTCACTGATTAACTGTAGATCTTCTCTCAATACCTTTAGGCTCATATCCTGAAAAAAAACTCGTAACTTGATCTAATTTGGCCTATTTGCTCTGTTGGCCTGCTGCTCAATGTCATTTTAGGTTTTCCCTTCAGCATTGTCTGGGAGATTCTTTTTACCTTTCTTTTGTGTTGGAACCTCTGTTTCCTGTCTTCTGTGTATTTTGTGGCTTACGTCTTTCTTTTGGTAGAGTACATCCTCAAGTGGCTTTAAAATATATATATATATATATATATATATATATATATATATATATATATATATATAATTGATTTTTTACAGAGAGGAAGAAGAGGGATAGAGAGTTAGAAACATTGATGAGAGAGAATCATCGATCAGCTGCCTCTTGCACACCCCCCACTGGGATGTGCCCGCAACCAGGGTACATGCCCTTGACCAGAATCGAACCTGGGACCTTTCAGTCCGCAGGCTGATGCTCTATCCACAGAGCCAAACCGGTTTTGGCTCAAGTGGCTTTTTGAGAAGGCTGAATAGGAGGTAAGATTTTTTAAGCCTTGCATATTTGAAAGATGCCTTTATTCTCTTGTCACTGCATTGCTAGTTTGGCTGAGTATAGAATTTTGGGTTAGAAACCAGTTTCCTTTGGGATTTTTCGCCATCATCCTGTATTGCCCTGATGATTGCCGCTCTGAATTTCAGTCCTTTCTGTGAAACCCACTTTTAAGCTTGTGGAATCACCTGCCCCTGGTGTTGAGACCTTTTGCCTCTAGAGCTTAAGACGAGCCACACCCCACTTATCCTCCAGGACTTCCAAAAGCCTTCCTTTTGGTGACTATCATGTTACTCACTGGGCTGGGAACTAATTTGCATGTGGCCTGTTTTCCAGGGCATAGCTTGCTTTTCTCTTACAGTCAATTTTTGTAAATTGTTTTCACCCTGTGTTGAAGATGTGCTGCACATAGATGAAAAGATAATGTCCAAGGATGTGATATTTACCGATCAGCTTCTCAGGGGGAAAAAAGGAAAAGAGAGCACCAAATTTTTAATTTAGAACAAGGAAGACCAACTTAGATGCAAAAGGAACAAGAGGTTTTTTCCTGTCTTAGTTTAGCTAATGGGTTAATAGATCTTTTATCCAACTATTGACTCAGAGGCTGCTGAAAACAGCAAGAATGGTATAAAGAGTTAGTGGAAGACCTCAAGCTCTTTAAGGAAGTGACTCTCAAATCTGCTTGCACATTAAATTATGATGCCCAGGGCCTCACCCCAGAACAACTGAATAAAAATATCTGGGTCCTCGCCCTAACTGGTTTGACTCAGTGGATAGAGTGTCGGCCTGCGGACTGAAAGGTCCCAGGTTCGATTCTGGACAAGGGCATGTACCTTGGTTGTGGACACATCCCCAGTGTGGGGTGTGTAGGAGGCAGCTGATCAATGTTTCTCTCTCATCGATGTTTCTAACTCTCTCTTCTCCCTTCCTCTCTGTAAAAAAATCAATAAAAATATATTTAAAAGTATATGGGTCCTGGGCATGTACATTAGAAAGAAAAACTCTTGCCTTAGCTGGTTTGGCTCTGTGGTTAAAGCATTGGCCCTCAGGCTGAAGGGTTGTGGGTTTGATTCCTTGTCAAGGGCACATTCCTTGGTTGCAGGCTCCTTCCCCACTCTGATTGGGGCCTGTGGGGGAGGCAACCTATCGATGTGTCTCATATTGTTGTTTCTCTTTCTCTGTCTCTTCCCCTCAATTCTACTCTCTCTCAGAAGTCAATGGAAAAAATATCTGCCAATGAGGATTAAAAAAAGAAAAACAAAGAAGAAAATCTTAGGTTGTTCTAATATACCAGAGGCCCGGTGCATGATTTTATGCATGGGGATTGGGTGGGTCCCTCAGCCCGACCTACACCCTCTCCAATGGCTGTCTTCTGCCGGGGGCTCGCTTGCCCACTTGCCTGCTCACTGTCGCTGGCGGGACTGAAAGGACTGGGGGACTCCAGCAGCAGGCAAGTGGTGCAGCCGGATCTGCCTAGAGGCAGTCCAGTCGGGCTGCACCACCCACATACCACCCCCTGGGACTGGTGGAATTCCTTAGTGACTAACTCAGTGTCAAATCTCTGGCTGTGGTCTCAAGTAAACCCTTATGTTTTTATTTATTTATTTATTTATTTATTTTTAAATATGTGTTTATTCCAGAGAGGAATGGAGAGGGAGAGAGAGAGAGATAGAAATGATAAGAGCAAATCATTGATCAGCTGCTTCCTGCACAAACCCTACTGGGGATGGATCCCGCAACCTGGGCACGTGCTGACTCTTGACTGGGAATCGCACCATGACTTCCTGGTTCATAGGTTGCTGCTTCACCCACTTCCATTGCATTTATGGTTTGATATACAATGATGTCTGATAAAGGTGTGGTGAAGGAAGGGAAGAAATGGCTGCCACCAATTCAACTTGTCTCAAATAAGAATATTTAGCCCTTTTCTGTGTATCCTGAGTTTTCAGATAGTTACATTTTGTTGAGTATTAGAAAGTTTAGTCTGGACATGGGACTTCAAATATGGGCTGAGTAGGTTAGCTGTGACTGGGTTTCCTTTTCCCTGGTGGTTGAGAAGAGAACTGTGGAGTGTAGTAGTATAGACACGAGAGAACATCCTCATGGCTCTGGTGATTAGGGTGTTTGATCAAGATTGCATCCTTGTCAGAGCTGGAGATTGAACCATAGCCATCACTGTGGTAATTCACTTTGTTCACACATTTACCTTATCTATGTGCTTGTCCATTTTGTGTACCAACACCCTGGGCCTATTCAAATAGAAGCTTAAATCAGCCATCCAGGTGATGAATTGTACTTTTCCATCCGAGATGTTTGTTTCCTTGCAATCAAATAGCAGAAGAGCGTGCCAGAAAGTTAAGGGTTGCCTAAGGAGGTACAAAGGAGAGGATCATCATCATGGCAAACCTTGATTAGGTTTTCTATAAAATGCTGGGTGGTATGGGTGAAGAGAATGAGGCTGGAGGTAGAATGGAGGTTGAGCTTTTGTGACCTGGCATTCTCAGTCCAGGTGTGTAGAATAACATTTATTGGCTCTGGGTGCGGGGAGGATAAAGGCTCTTTTGGTGATTTGAAATGACAACATCCTTGGAAAATTAAAATGTCACATTTTATTTCAACTGCTCATTTTCTTTAGAATACTGGAATCTTCAATGGCAGGAGAAAGAGTGATCAGAAGACCGAGATGAATTTTAACACTATTCTAGAAGAGATTCTCATTAAAAGGTCACAGCAGAGAAAGAAGACATCGCCCTTAAACTACAAAGAGAGACTTTTTGTGCTAACGAAGTCCATGTTAACCTACTATGAAGGTCGAGCAGAGGTAGGAGACAATCAAAATGTGCTTTGCTGATTTCTGTGTTGTTACTATTTTGTAATACTTCCTCCCATTTTATGGAATAAGCTTTAGATTAAGGAAGTTAATAATGAAGTAAAGGTAATAATACATTATTTGGTTTTGAAAGATAAAGTTTAGGCTGTGGATATAAATTATTCATAAGTTCATTAATTATGGGTTTGGTATATATGGGTAAACATTATATATCAGCCTACTACATTAATCTGTTAATGAAAACAAATTAAATCCTTATGGAATTCATTAAGTATATTGTATAATATACATGGCTCTTTCCCATAAGTTACTGTATTACATATCAAAGTCTTCTTTAACACGTAGAAACTGTGTCTGCATCAATTCATCATAAAGTGGCACAGACCTCTGCCCTCTCTTGGTTCTCTGGACCGCAGGCTCCTCCAATATGATGGCAATAAGCTTTTATTGAAATTCTTCCTGTTAAGCACAGCTTATTGTCTTTGGGAGTGTGTTGAAAAATTCTGTTCTGGGTGGTGGAAATGCAGGCAAGCCAAACCTTCCAACTCTGACATTGGAAAACCTGTATTTTCAGTTTCCGTGACCGGCCACTCTTTGGTGTGCACTCCTTGTGCTTATTACTCACAATTAGCTCACATTTCTGCATATTCTAACGAACTGGTAATTGATCTTCCCGGCAATTTATGTTGTTTGATCTTACTCATAATAACGCAGAACAAAGCGGGTTTCATCAGTGATCTTGCATTCTGCCCAGGGAACTAAATGTAGGTCAAATGATCTGACACATCTAGGGACGCTCTGTGTGGTATTGCGAGGGAATCCAGGGGAGCACAGGGCTGGGGGTTAACCAGGAAAAAGGCCACTAAATAATAGTGAGAAAACAAGGGGTGAAAGATCTCTCTATGTTGCGATGTGGAATAAAAAATTTTCAAGTGAGTAAATCTCTATATCAACAATTGCTAGCTAAGAAATCAGGAACTTTTTATAACCGGACTTAGGTACTGCTAATTTGGTTGGTGTGTTTTCTCTATGCTGCTCCAGTATGGATACTGGCAAATGGTTTATAAAGTCTGGGAGTAGGGAGCCTACTTGGATCACGAAGGCCACCTCCAGGTGAGATGATGTGTTAGGAGAATTCACTGCACTCAGTATGTAGTTGCAGTCAGGTACAGCTTTTTTGGTTTATTACTGTGAAGGGAGTAAGAACAAAATCAGCAAAAGTAAAAGGCAAATGGGACAAGTCAGGAGGAAACCAGGCATAAGCTTGTAAGAGTTCTTTCTCCATGGAGTCACAAAGGGTGTGCACAAACTCTCTGGCATCAAATTGTGACAGTTATGAAATGTTGTTACCAGCAAGCTTGTTAGAGACTCAGTAGCTAAGGTTTTTTTTTTTTTCTTTTTTTCTTTCTTTTTTTTAAAAATATATTTTATTAATTTTTCACAGAGAGGAAGAGAGAGATAGAGAGTTAGAAACATCGATGAGAGAGAATCATCCATCAGCTGCCTCTTGCACACCAAGGTACATGCTCTTGCCTGGAATCGAACCCAGGACCTTTCAGTCCGCAGGCTGACGCTCTATCCACTGAGCCAAACCGGTCCCGGCAGTAGCCAAGGTTTTCATTGGAGGCTGATCACATAGGTGCCCTCTGCTTAGCATGTACCAACACTAAAGACTCCACAAGGAAAGCAGGTGCTCAGCTTAAACATATTGTTTGTACAAATAGTTTAGGCTCAGTGAGCTATTCATATGGGTGCTCAGAATGGCAGGGCCCTCCCAGAGTTCAAGTTTAAGCCCAGGGCCAACCCTTGAAAAGCAGGCCTTTCCCAGGATAGTTGTCTCGTAGGCCAGCTATGTTAACTCTTTTTGCAAATCGGTAGTAATACTGATGAAAATTTTTGAGCACCAAATGTATGCCAGGTACTGTGCTAAATACTTCACATGCATTACTTTCCCCCTCAAAACAATGCTAAATTGTATTATTAGTATCTTCATTTAAAAGATGAGTGATGTGAGGCTTAGAAAGTTTAAAAACTTGCACAAGATCATACACCTAATGAATTACAGGGCTGTTTTCTTCAAAGCCTATCTTTGAAACCATCTTGATACTCCAAAAAGTGGAAAAAATCTGTTAAATCTTTCTGTAATACAGGTAGAGTTGAATTTAAAAAAAGTATATTTTAATTACTTTCAGTTATGAATTTTTAAAAATTTCTTTGCAATAGAAGAACATTAACACTAGACAGGGTTTTTGTCCTGGCTCTGCCACTGTCTACCTGGACACTGTTAACAGTGCTCTTCAATTTGTATATACACCGCGTGGCCAGATTATTATGATCTCTGAATGCATAATAATCGGGCTACTCAGTGTGTGTGTGTGTGTGTGTATATATATATATATATGTACAATATATATATGTGTGTGTGTATGTGTGTGTGTGTGTGAGTATATATATATATATATATATATATATATATATATATATATATATATATTAGAGGCCCAGTGCAGAAATTCATGCATGGGTGGGATCTGGTCAACCTGGCCAGGGGGAGGGGACATGGACAGTTGGCTGGCCTGCCTGCTGGTCGAACTTCTGGTCGAGGGGGCAATTTGCATATTAGCCTTTTATTATATCGGATGTACACTGAGTGGCCAGATTATTATGCGTTCAGAGATAATAATCTGGCCACTCAGTGTATAGTTTAGAAATTACTTTTATATACATTTTTTATCTCTTTATACTCTGAACTCCTCCTTTGTCATCTCTGCTTCAACCCTAGCACTTATCCCTTCTATTACCAGGTCCCATGAATTCTCCTTCCTTTTGTTACAACTTTAAAGTGGCTCCCCACCCCATTCTCTTAGGTGGGTTACTGTTGTACCTGATTCCACTCTTGAATATTTATCTTTTGTTTACAGAGTCTTCAGAGAGATAGTGAAAACCTATAGCTTTGTATCTTCTCTAGGATCAAGTTAAAACTCCTTAGCTTGGAATTCAAGGTGCATAATGCAATTTTCTAATTTCCAACCCTTTTCCTCCGGCTCAGCCATATACCTGCAATTGCCTTTTCTCATTGCCTTTGTTAATACTGATATTAATCAGTCTATTTGGAGTGATATCCTTCTCTACCTTTCTGCCAGGATCTATCTCTCCACCCACTGTCTCTTTTAGCCACCAAAAATTTGTTGAGTGCCTAGCAGGAAGGTAGAGAAGGATATCACTCCAAGTAGACGGATCAATACCAGTATTAACAAAGGCACCATGAGAAAGGGCAATTGCAAGTATATGCGCCAGTCATCTTTCCTGATTCAGCTCACTCCCTACCTCCTCTGAAGCCTTTCCTATTCTTTCCCACTAAAAGTAGAATCCACACCTCACTTCAACCCTCTGGGCCCTGTAAACACTTTATCATGGCATCTTGGTTGTCTGACTATTTACATATCTGCATCCTTCATTGGACTTTAAACTCTTTGAGGGCAGGGTTCACAGCTTATTTATCTTTGCATTTGTGAGGGATCAGTGCACAGGGGGTACTAGGGAGGAGGGCTGGCTGGCTGGAAGGAGAGATGGAGGGACCATACTCTTAGACATAGGCAGGGCAGGTTCATCCTAACATACTAGTACATAACGAACCATGATAACCAGGAAGGTGGTCAGGTGGTCTCACTGCAAGTAGAAGAGTCAGAATTTGAACCTTGATATTCTGACTCTAAGTTCAGTGCTTTTTCCACAATGCCACCAGTGCATCCCTTATCATTTCATTCCAGCTGTACTGAAATTGAACATTGTTTGTAATGAGATGCTTGAAATTTTAGTTAAAAAAAAAAAAAAAAAAAAAAAATATATATATATATATATATATATATATATATATATATATATATTACTGATTTTTCACAGAGAGTAAGAGAGAGGGATAGAGTTAGAAACATCAATGAGAGAGAACATCGATCAGCTGCCTCTTGCACACCCCCCACTGGGGAAGTGCCCGCAACCAATGTACATGTCCTTGACTGGAATCAAACCTGGGACCCTTCAGTCCTCAGGCCAATGCTCTATCCACTGAGCCAAACTGGTCTCAGTGAAATTTTAGTCTTTTACCCAGGATAACTGACAGGATGGTTGAAGCAATCAGTTACGAGTATGATGTGACACGAGTCTCTTAAATATCCTGGGGAAACTCTTCTATTTCTATGGAGTCTTCTGGGTCATAGAGGATGGTTTTCTTGACCAGCTCTGGGAGCCTGGAGACTGTGATATAGAGATAAGAGCCTCCTAAAGTCCTGGATGATCACATATTTCTCTCCTGGTTGTATCCTTATACTACATGGACCTCCCAGTGGGAAGCATAGGTTTCCAGGACACTTGTAATCGTACCTGAAGATTTGCATCTTTCAGCACTTCCTCTGATTCTGGAGAATGGATGTGGGGTGGGAAAAGTTTCTTTTGTTTACTATAGAGAAATTGGAAGCATTTGCATCACACTTTTGGTTACCAGATAGTTCAGTAGTTTGTAAAAAATGATACCGTTCTTACACTAAATAGAGGCAGTACAGTGCTTATTGTACAAGGAAACTTTTTTTGTCTATGAAAATTCTCAACTATATTATCCCAGAATTTTTTTCTTTTATTATTTAAGCTAGTGGCCTAGTGCACAAAATTTGTGCATGGGAGGAGGGCGTTGTGTCCCTCAGCCTGGCCTGCATCCTCTCCAATCTAGGACCTCTTGGAGGATGTCTGACCAGCAGTCGAACATCCCTTTCGCAATCCGGGACCTCTGGTTCTTAACTGCTCACCTGCCTGCCTGCCTGATTGTCCCTAACTACTCTGCCTGCCAGCCCGGTCAACCCCAACTGCACCCCCCTTGTGACCTGGTCACTCCTAAATGCCCCCCCCTCCCCTGCCAGCCTGCTTGCTCCCAATTGCCCCCCCTGCTGGCCTGCTTGCCCACAACTACCCCCCCTACCAGCCTCATCATCCCCAACTGC